CAGCATCAGCATCAGCGTCAGCATCATCATCATCAGCAGCATCAGCATCAGCATCATCATCAGCAGCATTATCATCACCATCGTCATCATCATCAGCATCATCATCACCATCGTCATCGCCATCGCCATCGTCATCGTCATCGTCATCATCATCAGCATCATCATCATCATCATCATCATCGTCATCGTCATCTTCATCGTCAACAACATCATCATCATCATCATCATCATCATCATCATCATCATCATCATCGTCATCGTCACGGTCATCGTCGTCATCATCATCATCATCATCATCACCACCATCACCATTACCATCATCATCATCATCATCATCATCATCGTCATCATCATCATCATCATCATCATCATCATCATCATGGTCTGCAGCAGCATCATCACCAGCATCATCCTCATCGTCGTCGTCGTATTCATCGTCGTCATCCTCGTCCTCATCAGCATCCTCATCACCATGACCAGCACCATCACCATCGTCATCATCAGCAGCAGCATCATCATTGTCATCGTCATCCTCGTCCTTGTGGTCGTCGTCATCGTCATCGTCATCATCATCAGCATCATCATCATCAGCATCGGTATCATTATCATCATCAGCATCATTATCATCATGATAATATGTGTCATCGTCACCCTCATCATCACTACTATCCGCATCGTCATATAGCAGCAGCATAACCGTCATCACCATCACCATCATCATCATCGTCAGCAGCAGCATCATTAGCATCATCATCGTCAACATCGTGCTCCTCATCAGCATCATCTCTGTTGCCAGCATCATCATCAGCATCATCGCCGCCACCGCCGACACCATCACCATCAGCAGCAGCAACATCAGCATCACCGTCACATCATCACCACCACAATCACAAATATCATCGCCATTATCACCATCAACGCCAGCAGCACCATCAGCACTACCATCATCATCAGAAGCAGCAACAACATCAGTATCAGGATCATCACCATCATCGGCATCATCATCACCATCATCATCATCATCGTTATCATCACATCATCATCATTCTCATCACCATCATCATCATCACCATCATCAGCATCATCTTGCCCCTCCCTACTCATCCATCCTCCTCCTCCTCCTGCTCCCCTCATCCTCCTCCTCCCCCTCCGCCGCCGCCGCCTCCGCCTCCGCCTCCGCCTCCGCTTCTTCCCTGCTCCCTCCCTCCTCCCTCCCTCCTCCCTCCCTCCTCCTCCGGCTTCCCTCCATCCCTCCCCCCTCCTTTCTCCTCCCGCCCGCCGGCCAGAGGATGAGGCTGGGGGGGGTCTCGCGGATCTCGAGCAGGCTCCTCCTCATCACCCACCCGAGTATTTCCCAGCAGCGGCGCCGGAGCGGCCGCGGAAGCTATCTTCCTGGCGGGCGGCGGGGAAGGACGCATGGCGTCCACTCTACTTCTCGCTCGTCTGAGGGGCAACGATCGGGGGGGACTGGCACAGGGGGGGAGCAGACGGCCTCCTTCGTCGTCGCGACCTGACCGGTGGAAAACCGGCATAAACAAGGTTCGGAAGTCCGCGCTGCACTTCTTGGATCGGCGCTGGGGCCCCCCATCCCTGGCGCGCGGAGCGCGCCAGGGGCGGCGCCAGAGGTACTGCCCCAGGGGGCCCAGCGCCGAGGAATCAGCGCGGGCCTCCGACAGCCCATCATGCTTAGGTCGGGCATGTCCTCCTACGGGTGAATCTTGGACGAAAAATGGAAAATTGTCAAAAAACCTCAGAAATAGCCCGACAAAGTCCAAAACATCAGCCAACAATAATCGAAAAATATCAGGAGGAGCCCAAATATGTACATACATCATCCAAAATTACCCTGGCGACGTACCCAACCCCTGCGCAAACGCTGGGCGCAAATAGTTTAGGACACTTCATAAAGGGGCGCGATGACGGAGCGAGGGTTACATATGTCTGCAGACGGAATTCGGGAGACTCGCAGGACACTGGCTACAGGTCAAGGACTAGATAAAGCTGATTAGTTACAATCCCTGAGCAATCCTAGCCACTTCGAAAGCGGGGATCTCATATCGCAGCCCCCCAGGGATGGCGAGGTCTAATTTGAATCTGCGTGGCGTCACTGTGCTGGGCCCCCCAGCAGGCCTCGAACGTGGCGACAGTTTCACAGATCGAATCCCCCCAGGGATGGCGAGGTCTTATTTGGGTCCGCGCGTGGCGTCACTGTGCTGGGCCCCCCAGAAGGCATCGAAAGTGGCGACAATTTCACAGATCGCAGCCCCCCAGGGATGAGGAAGTCTAATGTGGGTCCGCGCGTGGCGTCACTGTGCTGGGCCCCCCAGCAGGCATCGAAAGTGGCGACAGTGTCACAGATCGCAGCCCCCCAGGGATGGCGAGGTCTAATTTGGGTCCGCGCGTGGCGCCACTGTGCTGGGCCCCCCAGCAGGCCTCGAAAGTGGCGACAGTTTCACAGATCGCAGCCCCCCAGGGATGGCGAGGTCTAATTTGAATCCGCCGTGGCCCACTGTGCTGGGCCCCCCAGCAGGCCTCGAAAGTGGCGACAGTTTCACAGATCGCAGCCCCCCAGGGATGGCGAGGTCTAATTTGAATCTGCCCGTGGCGTCACTGTGCTGGGCCCCCCAGCAGGCCTCGTCACTGTGCTGGGCCCCCAGTGGCGACAGTTTCACAGATCGCAGCCCCCTCGGTTCCCCAGCAGGCCTCGAAAGTGGCGACAGTTTCACAGATCGCAGCCCCCCAGGGATGGCGAGGTCTAAAATGAATCTGCCCGTGACGTCACTGTGCCGGGCCCCCCAGCAGGCCTCGAAAGTGGCGATACTTTCACAGATCGCAGCCCCCCAGGGATGGCGAGGTCTAATTTGAATCTGCCCGTGGCGTCACTGTGCTGGGCCCCCCAGCAGGCCTCGAAAGTGGCGACAGTTTCACAGATCGCAGCCCCCCAGGATGGGGAGGTCTAAGTTGAATCTGCGTGGCGTCACTGTGCTGGGCCCCCCAGCAGGCCTCGAAAGTGGCGACAGTGTCACAGATCGCAGCCCCCCCAGGGATGGCGAGGTCTAATGTGGGTCCGCGCGTGGCGTCACTGTGCTGGGCCCCCCAGCAGGCCTCGAAAGTGGCGACACTTTCACAGATTGCAGCCCCCCAGGGATGGCGAGGTCTAAAATGAATCTTCGTGTGGCGCCACTGTGCTGGGCCCCCCAGCAGGCCTCGAAAGTGGCGACAGTTTCACAGATCGAATCCCCCCAGGGATGGCGAGGTCTAATTTGAACCTGCGTGTGGCGTCACTGTGCTGGGCCCCCCAGCAGGCCTCGAAAGTGGCGACAGTTTCACAGATCGCAGCCCCCCAGGGATGGCGAGGTCTAATTTGAATCCGCGCGTGGCGTCACTGTGCTGGGCCCCCCAGCAGGCCTCGAAAGTGGCGACAGTTTCACAGATCGCAGCCCCCCAGGGATGGCGAGGTCTAATTTGGGTCCGCGCGTGGCGTCACTGTGCTGGGCCCCCCAGCAGGCCTCGAAAGTGGCGACAGTTTCACAGATCGCAGCCCCCCAGGGATGGCGAGGTCTAATTTGGGTCCGCGCGTGGCGTCACTGTGCTGGGCCCCCCAGCAGGCCTCGAAAGTGGCGACAGTTTCACAGATCGCAGCCCCCCAGGATGGCGAGGTCTAATTTGGGTCTGCGCGTGCGTCACTGTGCTGGGCCCCCCAGCAGGCCTCGAAAGTGGCGACAGTTTCACAGATCGCAGCCCCCCAGGGATGGCGAGGTCTAATTTGGGTCCGCCCGTGGCGTCACTGTGCTGGGCC